TTAAAAATAAATAAAATTATTTTTTCTATTAAAATTTAAAATAAAAGTTATAAATTCATTATAAAAAATTAAAAAATTAAAAACTAAACTTGTAAATTATTAGAATTTAACATTTGAGATTGAAATTGAATTAATTAATCTTTTTAAACCTCTCTATCATTCTTCCTAATATTTTTTTTCCAAGCGGCTTTGTCTCTAAAAGGAAAAGAAAAAGAATAGTCCATCAATTTATTTATGCTATTGTGCCTTGTAACATTATTAAGAGTAAGATACACTGACCTTTTTATTATACCTTGATTGCATAGACCCCTTTTCTATTTTAAAAGCCCATATAAACCTCTCTTAAAATTACAATATATGTTACATGAACTTTTTCTTGTATATTTAAAATTTCATTTACATCCATCTGCCGTTAATTGACTATTAAATGTGACTTTTAAATTTTTAATTTCACTAAAATACCTTTCTTTAACGTAAAAATTATCTAAAAATCTATATTTGCCAAAAAAAATTGCATACAACTAAAAAATATGATAAATACATTTTCAAACTTTTATTACATTATAAAATTTTATAATTTTAATTTATCAAATTTATTGAAACTTATTTATTTATGCTTTTAAAAATTCCTAAAAACATATTTCAAACGCTTATTGTTGTTCGTCACATAATATAAAATGATATAAGTGTGAGAGATTATATAAAAAATTTAAATTTAAACTCTAAAATTTATGAACATGATTTTAAACAAAAATTTACAAATACATTTAATTTTAGATGCTTTTATAGATATAGCTCATGTTACAGAACCAAATCAAACAAATAATTCAATATTTATTATATTTTATATTATAGCTAGTTTATTATATTTGTTAATGATATATCATTATCTATAAATTTCTTATAAATTTTTAATACTAAAGCCCTTATATATCAATAATATACTCTGTATATATTAATGTGAATTAGTCATATTCCTAAATTAAAAAATTTAATCCATATTTTGAGGACCCAAAATTTGTATCGGCCAATGGGCCAATTTATCCTTAGTTTTATTGAAAAAGATTGATCAAATTTTCAGTCAAGTTTTTAGTGTCTACTTTAATTTAAAATTACTTAAGATTTTGTCCCAATTTTCTATAAACCTTAAGAAATAAAAATATATTTCTAAACCAAAAAAAAAAGAAAGAGGAAACTCTTAATTTTTTTAAAAAATTCTAGCCAAAATGTGGAATACAAAATAAGCACACAATTATATATGAGTGGCTTTGTAATATCCAATAAATAAATTTGATTTTTTTTAACCAAGATTTGAATTTTTTTACTAAACTTTTAAACATGTGTTGTTTAATTTTTAAAAGATTATGATAATTTTACTTTTTTTATTTTACAACATTTTAATTAATTTATAGTGCTTAATTTTATTTTAATTATTTTAATTTTTTTAGAATAGGGTTTATGGGCACAACTCTGAGCCCTTTAAATAAGGGCCGAGCCTCAAAAAAAGAGTAAAAAGTGAAAAATTAAGTTTAAAAGCTCATGCTCTTAAAGGTCGGGCCCATAAGGATTAGGGTTATAAAAGTTGGGTCTTTTCATTTTTTCAATTCTAGAAAGAAGAAGAAGAAGAAGACAATGAAAAAGGGAAAGAGAAGTGAAAGTAAAAAAGGATTATGCCCCCATGATGCCCCTACCACTAATAAATTATACATTTATTCAATTTACATCAAATGATGTATTATTGACATCAATTGTCTCTGCCACCATGCACCTTGAAATAATATATATATATATATATATTTGAAAAAATTATATTTATTCATGAATTTCAGAAAATACTACCAAAATCTAAATCATGCCCATTGACAATTTAGTTATGGGCATTGACAACTGAACAATAATTATTTACAACTTATATCAAGTTGTCAATATATAGGATTTGAGATTTGAAAGTATTTTGTAAAATTTATGAGACTTCTTGATAATAAATTTTTTTCTATGAGACCTAAATGTAATTTTTCTTTTTTTTAGCAATACCTTGAAATATATTTATATTAGCACATGTGAAGTGTAATCTGTAGTTCTGTTATATGCATTAGTCCTTCTCTAATTTTATTCAAGATTACAAATTTAAAATACTTGCTCACATCCATTTGCTCTCTTTCCTATATCTCGTTACTCTCTTACTGCACCACATTTTTGTCCCTGTATCATATGAACTTCAAAGTTGTGACACTATAAAGGCCTGTTTAGTTTCTATTCCTATTTGTTATTTTTAAAAATTATTTTGTAATATAGTTTTTATAATTATTTTTTAAAATAAAACAAAATAAAAATATATTTGATTATGTTAATTTAAAAAAATTAGAAATAAAAAATAGGTTGATAGTGATGGTTGCAGGTGATTAGTAGTGATGGTTTTATGATAAAAATTAATCAAGCTAACTGTATTTACTAACAATCAAATGTAGTGTATTTTAAAAATAAAAAAAATAAAATAAAAATAACTTTAAGATATTTTTATTTTTTATTTTTAAAAACATAAAACAGTTTTTGGTTAAACAAAACCAAATAGTCTCTAAGATAATAAGAAACATGCTTTTGCTTTCTTCCCCCCTGGTTCTTTTATTTTCATCAAAACGCATCGTTTTCAAATCACCAAGAAAAAAGAAGGAAGTGTTCCATTACCGGACGTAAAAGTCAACTATAGCTATCAATTTTACTTATCAAATAAACTACAGCCGACAGCAGCTATTAATTTCACTTGCCTATCAAATTGGTGACTTCTAATATAAATACAAAGACATTGGATCAGTGAATCCTAATACAGATCCAAAGATAGATTTTTTTTGCCCTTTTCCTCGATCTGACATCATTGTACCAACATCGTGAAATTTGTAAAAGTGTGGACATTTAGGAACATGATGACACAATAGGGTTGAAGTTGCCATTTTCTAACCACCGCAAACGTATACTTATCCACATTCTTTATATTTAGCTTTCTCTTTGCCGTCAATCATGACTAGTTTAGTGAAAGATTTCCAAATCTCAAGTGTAGGCTCTACGCTTTTTACTTTGAAGTTCTTGTCCTTTTTTCAACCTATCTTTATTGAATGGAGAAGAAATTCTTGATCGATCCCAAGTGCAGATTCCGAGATAATGATTTCTTAAAAAAAAAAAAAACAGAGAGAGAGTCATGGAAACCAAATTAATCAAAGCAAATTAAGTATAATGATATAAAAATCTCTTTGCATTAGAGGACTATAATAAAATATTGTTTTCTAGTTACAAAAATGAAACATTGCTTTCATAAGAAAGAAATGGACTTGGCTTCCCTTCTTCTCTCCTCTGAGCACAGCCTCTGCCATATCTTCTCTAATTGAGGTGAAATATGAATTATTTAGATTTAATCTGAATAATTCAGGTTCAATATTTTTATTTTATATTTATTAAAATAAAAATTATAAAAATTTTAATAAATTTATTATCAATTTGGACAGTCTATATTTAATATATATGATCCAAATTTACTATAAAAATAATATTAAATATGCATGGTTCAAAATATCTTGAAATAGTTAATTTATAAAAATTATAAAATTTTAATATTAAATTTGGACCATATATATTAAATCAGATCATCTAGGCTAGTGAATAAATTTATTAATTTTTTATAATTTACACAATTTTTATTTTAATAAATATAAAAACATTGAATCTGGAGATCCAAATTTCTCCTACTGCAGAGGAGTCAGAATGGACACTTCCCTTGTAGTAAAGAAGCCGAGTTCGAAAGTAGTACTATAGCAATCTTAGTATGGGAGTTGACTTTCCTCCTTTATAAACGAGAGAACCACCGCTAATCTAGAATATTAAATTGAATTTAGTGATTTAAATTTGATAATTTTTAAAAATATAAATTTAATTTAAATAGTTCACATTTACAGTTGAGAGATATTGAAAGGAAAAGATAATGATATGAGAAACTTACTTTTTATTTAGACTTTACTAATACAAGAGCTTTAGCTATTAATGATCCTTGTTGACATGCTTTTCTTTCTGTACAACTAAAAAATTTGAGTACAATGCATAGGTATATAATAATTTAACTTTTTTTAAAAAAAACCTCACTTGTTTATCATTTAAATATTGGTGAAATATATTATAAAAATTAAAAGAATAGATTAATAGAACAAACTACGCAGTTTTTTTTTTTTTTTTTGAATTACAAGGACACAGTTAAACTAAATACAGAATTAAATAACTAGGTCCAATCAGATAACAAAAGATTCCTGCATAAATAGATGGGTCATTAAACATCCTAATGTCTCGACTGTTGTGATCAGCATGATAGGCAAGTTAATTAACGAAACCATAAGCCTATTTGAAAACATGATCTAAGGATACAATCTAATCACGCATAATAAGATCTCTGGTCCTTTTGATAATATTGAAGAGTAGACGGTTTTGAGACTACTGATTTTGGACTAGATTGATAACCTTCATTGAGCCGCAAAAAACCTGAACTTCTGCAAAATTTTCATCCGAGCATAAATTGAGCCCTCCAAGAATTTCAAGGAGTTTCGCTGCCGTGCCAGACAAACAACATAGTTTATCTCACAAGTTCCCTGACTACAGTGTTGAGAGAAAAGAGTCGATGACCGTGCCCTATTGTGTGTGATAATATTAATAGCTCGTTTTTCCATTCGCAATCATCCCAGAGGCAATAGTCAATCATATAACCTATTCCTTTGACTTGTTTAACAATTATGGGTCCGAATAGTAAAGAGTCAAAAGTCAATTATATAGAATTCTATCATGAAAAAACGAATTAGAGAGGTGACAGTTGGTAGAAATTCAAACACAAACCCGTGAACCTGTCCCTAACAAAGAAAAGAGATCATCTTCATGACTCTTTGAAGTCCAACTCAAGGCCAAGAGGATTATTATTAAAGCAAACATGGAAGAACCAAATTCAATCATTTCCTCCAACACATGAGCACATGGCTGAGTCTATTCTGGAAGTTGTGCTTGGGACTTTGAACAAGTTCATTCAAGATGAGCTTGGCTTGTTTCTGGGTGTCAATCAAGAGATGAACAGACTCAGTAGCACACTTTCAACAATCTGGGCTGTGCTTGAAGATGCCGAGGAAAAGCAACTTACTGACAAGGCTATAAGAAATTGGCTGCAAAAGCTAAAAGATGCAGCTTACATTCTGGATGACATATGGATGGATGAGTGTGCAACAGAAGGACTTCGATTTCAGTATAGAAGAAAAAACTGTAGATCAACAAACAAGGTAAGACATTCTTCCTTATCCTCATTTCATCCAATGATTGTACTTTTCCGCTACAAAATTGCTAGGAAAATGAAAAAGACAAGGGTGTTGTTAGATGCAATTGCTGATGAAAAGCGCAAGTTTCATTTGTGTGAGGCAGTTACCCAGAGGAAAACTGAAGTGATGGAATGGCGTCAAACTGGTTCCATTATTACTCAACCTCAGGTATATGGAAGAGAAGAAGATAAGAAAAGAATTGTGGATTTTTTGGTCGGTCAGGCTTCTGGTTTTGATGATGTATCAGTGTATCCTATAGTTGGTATTGGTGGACTAGGAAAGACAACTCTGGCACAACTTGTCTTCAACGATGAAGAAATAACAATTTTCAGTTGAAGATTTGGGTATGTGTTTCACAGAATTTCGATGTTAAGAGAATGTTAAAAGCTATCATGGAATCAGCCACTGGTCATAGCTGTGAATCTTTGGATTTAGATCCCTGCAGAGAAAACTTCAAGAGACGCTTCAGGAAAAAAATACTTGATTGTTTTGGATGATGTGTGGAATGACGACCAAGAGAAATGGGATAGGTTGAAATATGTCTTGTCATGTGGATCAAGAGGTTCCTCCATTCTTGTCACTACTCGGCTAGCAAAGGTAGCATCCATCGTGGGAACGCAACCTTCTCATCAGCTATATGGTTTATCCATTGATGAATGCTGGAAATTGTTCAGGCAACGTGCCTTTGGACCAGACAGGGAAGCGCATGCACAGCTTGCGGACATAGGAAAGGAGATAGTGAAAAAGTGTGGTGGTGTGCCTCTTGCTGCGAAAGCATTGGGGGCCTTTTATGTTTCACCAGGGAAGAGAGTGAGTGGCTCTACGTCAAGGATAGCAAACTTTGGGGTCTACCACAAGATGAAAACTCCATCTTAGCTACCTTGAGATTAAGCTATTGGAACTTGCCATTCAAAGCAAGACCTTGCTTTGCCTATTGTGCCATTTTCCCCAAGGTAAAGAAATTAATAAGCGTTTGCTGATTCAACTTTGGCTGGCTAATGGGTTCATAACACCCTGTGGAAAAATGGATGTAGAAGACGTGGGCAATGAGGTGTGGAAAGAATTGTATTGGAGATCATTTTTCCAAGATATTCAGACAGATGAATTTGGCATGACAACAAGTTTCAAGATGCATGATCTAGTTCATGATCTTGCCCAATCAATCATGAGAGAAGAATGTAACATTCTGGACAACATAAGCTCAAATGATTTGCATTTGCATGGAAACACTCGCCATCTTTCTGCTCCAATCTATAGACTTAAAAGATCTCATTTTGGTTTGTCAGACATACCCAAATCCTTACGAAGCAGCCTACATGTATCAAATGCAGTTTCATCTGTCTCCCTACTGATGAAAACTACCTCTTTGAGAGCAATTCATGAGAGTGGCAGTGAGACGGTAACAGAATTGCCATCTTCAATAGGGGATTTGAAGCATCTAAGGTATTTGAACTTGAGTGGCACTCAGATAAAAAAACTCCCCAAGTCCATTTGCGGCTTATGGAATTTGCAAATTTTGATTTTGAGTGATTGTTGGAATCTAAAGAAGTTGCCAAAACAAATGAATTCACTTAAAGGTCTACGAGAGTTGATGTGGATGGGTGTGTAGTTCATTGACTTGTATGCCCCCTGGCATTGGTCAGTTAACTTCTCTAAGGATCTTAACTCGCTACATCGTTGGCAGAGGCCAAGGCTTCCATATCAATGAACTGGTTGCTTGAACCTCAAAAATAATCTAACTATAGAACACTTGGAGAGAGTAAAAAGAGCGATAGATGCCAAAGAAGCAAATTTGGCAAGCAAGCAGCTGAAGGAGTTATCATTGTCATGGGGTGCCAACCTTGAATCAAACATGCAAGAAAATATTGAGCAGATGCTTGAGGCCCTTGAACCTCATGCAAAACTCTCTAGTTTGCATGTAGAGGGATATAAAGGTGCCCATCTTGCACAATGGATGGGCAACCCTAGTTTTAAACACTTGTTTTCGATGACCCTTGTAAATTGCAATAACTGTTCAGAACTTCCACTATTGGGGAAACTTCCGTCTCTGAAGTACCTCAGATTATCTGGTATGTGTCGTGTGAAGCACATCGCGATGAAACCAGTAACAGTGGAAAGGGTTTCTCATCACTTGAAAGTCTTGAGCTTTCTGATCTAGTAAACTTGGAATATCTGTGTAAAGACGACGTAGGAGAGATGTTTCCATGCCTTCGAGCATGTTTATTTCTAGGTGTCCCAGGTTGGCCTTGCCCATTCTTCCATCTGTCAAAGACCTAGTTCTAATCGATTGCGAGGAAGTGTCTTTGAGCTCAATCTACAACCTCCACAATCTTAGATTTCTTCAAGTTTCCGCTTTCCAAGAACTGACCACTATCCCAAAATCGATGTTGAGAGGCCTCAGTGATTTAGAGCAGTTTCACATCACTTACTTCTCTAAGCTTGAATCATTTCCAGAGCAAATGTTAGAAGGTCTACGCCCTCTCAAAGCAATCAAGATTGATTCCTGCGAGAAACTGAAATCTTTGTGGGAAGGTTTTGAAGACCTTACTTCGCTAGAAACTTTAGAAATCAAAGGATGTCCGGAACTAGTAGCATTGCCAAATGGTATCATTCACCTTACATCCTTACAACGTTTGGTCATAACTTCCTATGGCATCATAAATGGAGACAGGAAACTTTTATTCCTACTAAACTGGCAGTATTACCAGAGTCCTTAGGACATATTTCTTCACTGCAATATCTCAAGATAAGTGTATTCCCAAATTTGGCATCTTTACCTGAATTGGGAAACCTTACATCTCTTCAGACCTTAGAGGTTGGCCACTGCCCAAAGTTGCTATCTCTTCCCACAACTATTCGATGCCTTACCAAATTGCAGGAGTTCAAGTTAAAGAGCCTACAAAATCTTTCATCACTGCCTGACGAGTTGGCGGGCCTTACTTCTCTTGAAATGTTACTTGTCGAAGATTGTCCAAAGTTGACTTCCCTTCCCATGTGTATTCAAAGCCTCACCAATTTGAAGACTTTGGCCATTGGGGATTGCCCGATGTTGCAAAGAAGATCTAATAAAGAAACAGGCGAAGATTGGTACAAGATAGCACATATCCCTTGCGTTAAATTTTATCTCAAAGCTAGGCCCCAACACCATCACGAACAGAATGCTGGAAGAATTTTGTAAGATCCAATTCAATTTTGGAATCTCGTTTCGTCATAGAATATGTATTATTTCGTTATGTCATAATGGTTTTCTGATCTTTTTGGTGAACAAAAACCTGCCCACAGCCTCATCAAGACAAACATTGGATAATCAGTTTGTGAGTCTTTAACTTCATCGTCAAGCCATGCATTATTCAATATGCACATAATATGGCCAATATGGATCATAAACTAACACAAATGGGATTTGGTTTCTTTATGTTTGCATCTCATTTTCTTCTACAACAACCAGTAGTTACGGACAAGGGGAAAAGTTAAAAACCTTATAGAAGGGGTTATTAGTTGGAGTAATGAGTAATCTCAATTAATTAGGCATGTTTGTGAATTGGCGATTGCAAATGGTAATACAATACAAAGACCAGTTATTCCTTTTCTTCCATGACCCAATCAATCAAATGATCCGAGTTCTGATTGTTGCTATTATCTGCCTTGCTTTGGTTGTACTTGATTCCAATACTCAGCTAATGTCATATTGGTTATGTCATTAACAGAACTCCCCTTAATGACTTGGCTTAAATTGATGCTATTCAATCATATCATTCTTTTGCAATTTGATCTTTCTTCTAAGCTCAAAATTTTAGTTTATAAATGCCTTAATTGAGTTCTCATGGCTTGTTAGCACCTCATAATATGTTACTATTGAGTACTTTCTCAATATTAATTGACCATATTGGGAGTCTTGTAGGAGCCAATTGGAGATATTATGGTCGGTTCTTTATGTCTTTTATAAAATCGTTTGATGCTTCTCAAAGGTGATGTAGTGATTTCCAAATGTTTCAGATCATAATGGTATTCTCCAACAACGGAAGAAATGAAGAACTTGATCCAGTCAAGATTGAAATTTCAGAAGAGCCAGAGATTTCCTCATAGCAGGATATGATGGTAAATATTTGAGGAAGATTACATTAACTGAACTGGGTATATGCGCGGTAGTAGTGCACTATTGTTGGCAAAATCTCTTGGATTGTGTAACGACTGCATTTGGAGAACACAGTGTTCATCGCGTATGGTTACGTTTGGTAAGTGTTTTATGTCCAAGGAGTTTTTATGTAATATGACAACCAAGTTTGAGTGCTTATAATGTGATCCATTATATGCACCACGTTAGTGTACTAAAAATTCATATATCAATTTCAATAGTGATCTTGACCTTAATTAGATACCTGATAATAGATTTGAGCATGGCATCAAGGGAAAGTAAAATCTTGATGATACATGACAAAGATGTATCGTAAGCTTGGTGATATATGACAAATACATGAAGTTGGATACTATTAAACGCACAAGATAAAAGAAACCACTTAGAGATTAACTTTTTTAATCTACTGCGTACTATACCTGATTAAAATGTCTAGTCAGAATTCTTAAAAATTATACCTTTTGCATATCTGAGCTTGAACTCAACACCTTTATTTAAAAAAGACCAACCTCACAGTTAGTTAATCCAAGCGCCCGGTGGTTGAAACACCACTTTTTAACTACCATACAATCTGATTTTAATTTACTCGATGTGTTTCACCGCATATCAAAAGTACAGGACTTGGAACTGGTCAAACCCGAGGTGTGAGCATACTTGTGCCATGTCTTAAATTCCCCTTCTTGGACTGGAGGTTGTAGATTTTGATTTGAAAGCTCTTACAAGAAGTGAAACACTTGAAAGCATTCATAATATAAACCCAATTGCGCAGATTTCAACCTAGTCCGTGTTTCTTAAATGTGACATTCCAATTATGGTATTAAAATAATACTATTCCAAGTTGTTAATCTTAAAACGTCTATGCTTAAAACCAATGTAAATTTTGGACCAAGCTCTCTAACTGCTGTCATAGAACTAGAAGGGGCATGGCATTTGACAGCATTTCAAAAGAATGGTGATGGGAGTGTCTGTCTTGAACTGGGATATAGCATAATAGGGATTTTTTTTTTTTTGCCCCCTCTTTCGAAAGTTGTGGGTGTTATTTGCAGATGACTTAAGGTTAGCATATTCGCATAGTTCACTTCAGGTTGACAGAAAAAATAATAGATTTTAGTTGGAAATCCGATCAATTTCCTGTAGTTGTCTTGAGATTATACTAGGATACAGAATGTTATGAAGGGGAAAGATCTTTTCAGAAGCATCTGGCTTTATAATAAATGATAAAAATGGACTCTCTTCTTTTCGGAGAGGAAGGGTACATGTATTAAATAAAAGAAGAATATATGGTATCTGTACGAGGTGATAGAAAATATTTTTATATTTTGTTGCTTATCATATCATCGTAGGAAAGAAAGGGATTTTTCATGTTCAGTTTTTAGCCATATGAAAGAATTGCTGCTCGTAAACTGTAGCTAGAATTTGCAATTTTCCATAAAGAATGCATAAATAAAAGGCCACGAAAAGAACAAAATAGATAGAGATGCAGATGGTACATCAGGTAAGCCTGATATAATCACAACAATTTGCGAAATATATATACACCGATTTGTGTACCATAGTGCTTCGTGAAACTCCAAGGAAAGCATAATACATACAGACTGTAATCAAGTGGAACGTTGCTTACCCCTGTCATGTGTGAATTGTTCGAATACACCAAGAACGATGCCCAGTGCCCAACATAGGGACCACGGAGAGCCCTTTTGGTGGCATGGCCCCATCATCCACGTTCCGAGTTTCGCAGGTTATTTAGCGACAGGAGGCTCTTGTTGCACGA